ATGGACTCATAGTCGGGCTGGTTTTATCATGCCATCCTAACAGGACAGATTAAGTGCCTCATACAACAAACAATAACATAGTGAATGAAAGTTCAAAGGCTATTAAGTCAGGGCCGAGTGGCTCAGCTGGTTAAGAGCTTGCTCAAGAGTTTGAGCTCTGAGCAACAGCGGTTCGAGTCCAGCCAGAGCTGAGCAGCTGCTGAGCTGCCAAACAGGTAGCAGGATGGCTCAGCTAAAGAAAAACAAAAAACAAAAAAAGCAAAGGCTATTAAGTCAACAATTTATCTTGACTGAGAAAGAGGTATCAATGTTGACTTTTGCATTTAGATGAGACAGGTGCTAGAGAACAGATGGCCCAATGCAACCCATTCCCAACATTAATAAGACACAAATATTAAAGTGTGTGAAAGGGGAGTAGGGTGGAGGTGGGTCACAAAAAAAATAAGAAATGGACACATGTGGCGAGAACAAGCTGGGCCAGTCTAGAAAAAAAAAGTCAACGTTTTTATTTTGATAAGTCTCTAGTTACTAAAAAAAAAAAGTACTAAGATATAAAACATTATTTTATATAGGCTATTTTGATATCATACTTACCAGCAGTTGTTTTCATCAACCGATGTGGATGACTATACTTGAATGAAGGATAACCAAAGAAACACACATATTTTGGCTTAAAAACATAAATATTATTAAATGTTTGAAAGTAACGGATGCAAATCTGGAGATGAGGAAAACAAAAAAGTAAATGCTTTTATATGTGATCTTAACAGCTTTTTTCTGTAAGTATATATTGAATTTCAAGACTATTCTAAAAGTAGAGCAACGATTATCACAATATTAACAATATGAAATTATCTAGGTAGGCCCAAATCATAATACTTGGCATCAGTGACAATCAAGTTTATGAAGATTGATTTTAAGTATTTCTGTTCAAGAAATCAAAGGAACTCCAACCCTAGCACACAGAGAACATTTTGTTGTTTTTGTTTAGTAAAATTATACCCTTAGAGTCAGATTTGTTTATGTGTATTATGATCCTTGCCTAAAATTCCTTATGAAAAAGTAAAGACATTTTTAACAATGTATTCTGTATAAATACATTGGCTTGTAGGTGTACTTGAATCATTAAAGGCTTCCTGAAATAAAACTACTAAAGAATTCAAAAGTGACCGTTAGTATTTAAAGACACTGAAAAATGTGCTGTATTATACCGGAAAATATAATACAAACGGAGCCACTTTAAAATGGAGTCAGAGCTGCCAACCCTGAGGAACTGCTTGCACATCTGTCTTACTCTGCAAACCTCTGGAATGTTAAAAGTGGGCAAAATACCCTCTGGACTGGGCCTACAGCAGCATTGTTTTCCAAACAACTGTTTGCAAAGATAACAAGAAAGCAGAAATGACCACCTGACTAAAAATTAAAGACATTCTTTAGAATTAGCATCATTATTTTAGCTTATCTGCAGAATTACCTACAGAAATTCCTTCCTTCTATTCATGTAATTATTCCCCTTCCCTTTCTCATGAATACCCCTTGCCTTCACCTCTAATAGGGCCACTATTTGGGTTTCTGCCTGAGTCAGAGCTTCCCAGAATTGCAGTTCTTCCTGGATTTTAAATAAATGCTTGTTGCCTCTCACTTTGCCTTTGGGTTAACAGTACCAAAGTTTTTCTTATCATAGTTTACAGATGACTCTTTAGACTTAACTATTTTACATAACATCTTAGTAGAGTAAAAGATAATATGTTATAGAAATAAGTAGGCATGAATGTATTCACCTTGATATATCAAAAACTAAGTGTCTGAAAGGTAGAATATTTTATTTTGAAAGTTAACATTTCAATGTTATTAATACCTAATTAACTACATCACATGTTTTGGGTCGTCGGAAAAGTCATGACGTATTTTTTCTGTTTTTTATGCAAAAATACGTCATGATTTTTCCAACAAACCAATAGTTTATACTTTAGTGGCGATGAGCCCTTAAAATTTATAATACATATTATGTATTATAGTCATGTTATACAATACATGTTTATAAACGAGAATTTTGTTTTCTCTTACAGCAAGTAATATAAAAATTTGGTTTACTGACAAAAGTAATAAATTTAAATTTTTACATGAGTTTCCACCTTAATTTCCAAGCCATTACTGATTTCTGAAGGCAAAGGAAAACTGAAGATCCCTTTCCCAAGACACGAATAATCTTAAATCATACATCTTAGCTTTACTTTAAGAGATCAGGTCATTCTAAAGCAACTCATCTTTGTAATATGTATTTTATTCTTAGTAATATTAACATTCAGGCTATTAACATAAAGCCTAACTAAAACCACTAAAATTGATAGGTTAAAACTTAGCAGATAAATTGTAGCAGCCCTCTTGTAACCATGAGAAGAGGCCACATGATAATCCTGATAATGATGAGCCTCAATACCAGCTGCCATCCAACTTTGGGGTGCTTTGTATGCACACATATTTAATTCCTATGTATTGCTTGGGTTTCATTACTTGCAGCTGCAAAACGCCTAACAGACATGCATGCATGTGGAGATTTTCAGTTATTTGGGTCTGGAGTGGAGCTGGCTAGAAGACCAGCGAACTTTAGGCATCATCAGCAACAGATGGCAACTAAGTTAAAAGTGGACAAGATAACCCAGAAAGTACAAGAAGTGCAGGGTCCCAAAGTCAGACTGCTTAGAAACACCAATATTTAAAAGTTGGGCAGGGAACGAGGAGGAGGCTGGGATGAAGTGTTCAAAGATGTAGGGAGAAAAATATTAGGAAGCTGGTATCACAGAAGCCGAGGATGGAGAGCTCGCAAAAGAAGGGAGGTCAGTGAGGTCAGCACCTAGTAAGGTGCTGCTGAGAAGAGCTTTCTTCTGGTTACATCTTACTTACTTATCTTTTACAAATCTCAAGTTATACAGTATCCTCTGGGAACTCCTCCCTGATCCCCAAGACCCTTCCTATGTGTTTCTGTAGCTGTACGCACTTGCTCCATCATTAACACTTACAATGCTGGGCTGTAATTGCTTGTTTAATCTATCTCTGTCTCTTCCTGTCCTCTACAACAAGGCTGTAATATAAAGGCTATAATCTCTGAAAGGGATGGTGTCTCTCTTATTCATATGTGCATCCCCAGTGCCTAGCACAATACCTGGTACATAACAGCAGGCTCATGAAAGGTTTTGTAAGATCAGGAATGACAATTGTAGGAGGGTCTAGGGAAGAGGGGACAGAGGAGGAAAATAATATGCAAATAGGATGAAACACTATGATTATGGGATGTGAACTGTTTGGTGCTAAAAGACAGAAAGGGGGAAATTGCAGGGGAGATGGCCGTGGGCTGTAGCTCGGTGAGAAAAATGTTGTTAAAATATTGGTGCAGACATAGAAGACAAGTACAATGAAGCTCGAGCCTCTCAGCTCCTCAGAGGCAAGGACTCGTGCTGTTAGGCTTTGCTTGAAGGTCTCTTCCTCTAGATTGTAAGTTCCTTGAGGGCACAGGTCGTATTATCAATGTCCAGCACTAAGTGGGTGCTCAATGGTAGAAGAGGGTAAAGGGGGTCAAATATATGGTGATGGAAGGAGAACTGACTCTGGGCGGTGAGCACACAACGTGATATATAGACGATGTATTACATAATTGTACACTTGAAACCTATGTAATTTTACTAACCATTGTCACTTCAATAAATTTAATTTAAAGTTAAGAATATATCTCCGTATCCCCAGTGCCTATCACACTGCCCGGCACCCAGATGGTGCTCAATGCAAGGTTAGGGGGCCAAAGGCTAGCTGAGCCTCCGGGTGTAGATACAGTGAAAGGGCGACCGAGTCACGACAGAACCGCGCCCAAGTAAGGGGAGGGAGTGGATCTCCAGACCCGACGGCTCGCCACCCTCTCTGCCCTTGTTTTACATACGTCCCTTCACCTCTCCATCACGTGTGCCCTGTACGCGTGTCAATGGGAGGACAAAGTAACACATCTCTCCCGGATGACTATGGACAAATTACTCCTTCTCGACCTCAAGATCTGCCCAAACCTGCTTACCAGCCGCCCGGCACTCTGGCTCCAGGTCCTCAGCACGCGTACTGCGGCCATCTTATTCCGGAAATGACAACTGTTCTGCGGTTGGAAGAGGTGCCTCTGCCGGGCGACCTATTGGGGGCCGGGAAACACGCCTCCCCCTGAACGGCCAATGGAGAGCGAAGCAGCGAGCCTCCCACCGGTCAGCCAATCAGGGCGCGAGGCGGGGCCGGAGAGCCCCTAGGGGGAATGGGGAGGGCCCCGCAGGAAAGAAACAGAACAACGGGAGGGGGTGACAGTGGGGAATAGAGCAGTCCAAATTTAATTTCAGGAACTGTACTGGACAGGGCACCGCTATGTAGTAATTACATGTGCATCTTTGTAGCCTTATGTGATAGGGGGAAATAGAGAATGTTAAGGGAACACAAAGGAAGGGCACTTACCTGGAGAAAGTTATAGGAAGTAAGACCTGAGGGGATGAGTAGGAAAACATATCCTTTCTTCAGCTTGTATTGTAATGGCTTTCTTACAGAAAACGGGACATTTCTATACTTTGTAGCGAGGCTCTGTACCACTAGTTGAGTCACAAGTCTATACTGAAATACTTCCCAATAACTGGCATTTCTTATGCCCATTGACTGTTCTTGACTACTGGAATTGGCTTTTCAATTTTTTTCATAGAAGATGACCAAGGTTATCCTAATGTCTAAAATAAACATGTTATCAACATTATCTTCTTAGAGCATGTTGTCAGATGCAGCTGCCCAGCATATGCAATATATGTCACAGACATATAAACTTGCTTTATTTGCCTCTTGAAGAAATGTCAAATTTAGAACCAGTAAAGAAAAGATCAGAACTTTCATGATCAATCTTCCTTGAAATAACTAGAAAACCAATTTCTAGAAATGTCTAGGACAACATTTGTCTGTTCTCGCCTCTTACGTAGGGATGAAAACCTGCACAGATAGCTAAAGAATTACAGAAAAAAACTGCACAAAGACAACAAAATAAATCCTCAACATTGAAGATTAGTTGCTGTGAAACAAAACCTCAGGTATTTCACAAATTCACTATCTAATATCTAATTACCTAATTAGATATTATCTAATAATATTATCTAATATTATCCAAACCCATACTTTTTTTTGTCTTGCCTTTCAGTGTATTTTTACACACACACACACACACACACACACACACACACACACTACTGTAAGCAATAAATCTAAATCATTAACCTTTATAAGAAAAACGGAGATAGTTAAAACTTTAATTTTTTAACTTTCCCACTAACAAAACATTTTATAGGCACTATTAATATATTTGATAATATCACATGCATGTGTTTGTATAAGAAGATGGAAGTAGCTGTGCCTTTGAAGTGAATTATTTTTCTTCTCAGGGTCCCTCTACCTTCTTCCTCTTAACTTTCCCTTTAATTCTACCTTCTCTCACCTATTCACTAGTTAATCCTTCCACTCAAAAGAAACAAAGAACTCTTTTTTCCCCTCTTTTTTTAATTAATAAGAATGACTGATTATGACCCAGCAATTCCACTCCTAGGTGTCTACCCAAGAGAAATGAAAACATATATCCACACAAAGACTAGTACAAGAATGATTGTAACAGCATCGTTCATAACAGCCAAAAACTAGAAATAGCCCAAATGTCCTTCAGCAAGTGAATGGATAAACAAAATGTGGTACATCCAAATAATAGACTTTTATTTGTCCTTAAGAATGACTGAAGTACTGGTACATGCTTTAACATGGATGACCTCAAAATTTTATACTAAGTACAAGAAGCCAAATCCAAAAGGTCCCATATTGCATAATTCCGTTCATATGAAATGTCCAGAGAAGGCAAATCTATCTATTCTAGACAAGAAAGCAGATTCACAGTTATCTGGGGCTGAGGTGGGAATGGGGAGGGACTGCAAAGGGGCAAGAAAAAGCTTTTTTGCAGTGATGGAAAATTCCTATTACCAGATTGTGGTGATGATTGCATAACTGTAAGTTAACTAAAATCATTGAATCGTACACTTAAAACAGGTGAACTTTGTGATATGTATACTTCAATAAAGCTGTTAGACATTGTTATATTGTATACATACAAAAGAATAATGTAACATACAGATAAGTCACATAATAAAAGCCTTGACCCACCACCCAATTTAACAAATAAGAGTCTTTCCTATGCTGGTGAAGGTCACTGTCTGCTCCTCCTCTTAACCCTCCCTCTCTCCCTTAGATAACCATTATCCTGAATTGTGCACTCATCAGTCCTTTTTTCCTTTAGATTTTACTATGTATTTTGATCGTTAACAGTATATTGTTTACTTGTGCTCGTTTTCGAGTCTTATAAAAATGGTATCAAAATTGCAGGTATCTTTCTGCAACTAGATTTTATGACAATACTATAATTTATTTATGCATCCTCTATTCAGTGAATATTTATGTTGTTTCCAGCTCTTTGGTATTACCATCAGAGCTGCTATGAACATTTGCGATCATTTCTCCTGGTACCGGTGCAAGAGTTTCTTTAGGGCAGTGCTTTTTAGTCTGTAATGAGCATTCATATCAACTGGGGATCTTTTGAAAATGCAGATCCCATTCAGTCGCGATGGGTGGAGCCTGAGATTCTGCATTTCTACCAAGCTCTAGGTGATGAAGATGCTATGGTTTAGCCAATTACACTTTGTTAAGAATATATAGCTAAAAATTGAATTGTTGAGGTATGGGTTATATTTATCTTTAACTTTAATCAAGATGAGGAACTCCCAGACTATTTTCGAAAATTCCTACATCATTTTACATGTATCTCTCAAGAGAAAAAGAATAATACTCTAATTCTCTCTCTCTCTCTCNCTAATTTGGTTTTACTGTCTAACTCTACAGTACCGATATAAGAATACTATCTAGGGCTATTAGCATGTATTTTTGCAACAACAACATAAAAAGTTTTTGAGAGCATTTAATGGTCAACGTCTAATGCTAGGAAGTCAATACTATTTGGCAGAATCTCTGTGGGATTTAGTGAATTGGAGACCAAACCTCTGAAAATCAGCAGGCAACTGAGTTTGCTTTGACATTCAATTCTAAACAAGTAAAAAATTTTCACTGCTGCAACTACGGAAAGACAATGTATTCATCCCTCCTCACTAGTCTATGAATTGGCCCAGTGGAGCTCTCAAAGTTCTCCTCAGGTTCAAGAAGGGAAGATAAAACTTGTGAAGGGTAGCAGAATATGCCACCCGAAAATATGACTGTAGTTCAGGACATGCCACCCCCAAATATGCCACTTTGTATACTGATTATTTGAGCTGCAGACACCTCAAGAAGAGCAAATACAGGGAGTTGTTTCCTCTGAACTCTCCTCATCTGCCCTAAGACAGATTCTCCAAAAGGAACTCAGTGGTCATAAATCTTCTTCCTAGAAGTTTCAGCTACTAGGGAAGATTGATTCTCATCACAGGGGAGGAGACTAAACAAACTGTCACAAACGATCATACCTCCTGTCCATTCTTTTAAAGGCCCATTCATTATCTCCCCTAAAAATGTACTCTCCCCTAAGAGGCCTGCATTCCCCTCTCCCCTATCCCTATTAAGGTGATATTTAAGCCCAAATTCTACGCCACTTCTTTGAGTTTTACTTATTTTTTTCCTGGGTGTCTCCGATGTATACGAGTTATACATATTAATAAACTTCTCTTTTTCTTGTTAATCTGCCTTTTATTACAGGGGTCTCAGTTAAGAACTCGGAGGGTAGAGGCAAAATTATTTTTTCTCCCCCACGTGCACCTATTACATGTCAAATACTGCACTGTATATGCAATATCTTAATCTTCACTCCAACTTTGTAAGTAGGTGTTATTATCCCCATGTTATAGATTAAAAGAAAAGGGAGACTTGAAAGATGAAGGGATTGGCCCAAGGTCATACACCTAATAAACTGTGAAGTGCTGGAATTCAGTCCTAGGGTGACTCCGTCTGTACTGTTTCCATTAGTTCCCAGCGCCAGCAAATTTTCTTTCTGGTCAAATAAATAAGCTGGAATACAACTCCTATACTGCAAGACATAATTTTGTTTAAAAAATGTCTGGAATGATATACATTAATGTGTTTAGAATGGTGATTTATGAGTAGGAGGAATGTTTTCATTTTCTTATTTTTGGTTTTCTGCATGTTATAACTTCCTACAGTGCAATATCCTGCTTGTATCATAAAAGAAATTAAAGAAATAACAGAAAGGTTGCAATAAACTATCTTCCAGCTTTTGGAGGCAGCCTGTCCTAGTGGATAAAGACTTAGGACATCTGAGTGCTAAACTTGGCTCTGTCACTGCCAACGGGCAAATCACCCAACCTGTTAAACTGGAACACTCATGCGTAAGAATAAGTAAGACAATAAGTGTGAAACATTTTATACATTTCAAAGTGTGATTATGATAATTATATTGCACAAGACTAAGAGTTAGCCAGCAGCTGTAATTCAGACACCTTCTAAACTTCTGAATTACACTACTGAAATGTCTTTATCTGAGTGCTTGAGTNCTCTCTCTCTCCCCCTGTCATGGGTATCAATGCACCAGGGCACACACATTTCAAGGGTCAGGCTTCAAAGAAAGGCAAACCCGACTAGGCGGAGGTCGGTGCATTGCACTGTTTAGACCTTGCTTAGATCTTCAGCTCTAAGAGTTTCCAGCTCTGGGTAGGACGGGATCCTCGAGAAAACAGGGATAAACATGGATGTTTGCACAGCCTGCCAGACTACTGGAGGATGCAGTTAGAATTGAAACGTAGGCTTTCTGCAATCTGCGGGTTTTGCTGTGTTCAGCGCACACATCTTCAAGAGACACATCTCCTACGGCGCCCCAGGACACCTCTCCTGCTGCCGCCCCATCTCCAGGAGAGCTCCGGATTTGCTGGAATTTTGTCGGCACCGCCTCTTTGAGCCGCGCGACGCACGTGCGCACTGGCTGCTGCGCTGTGCGAACCCGCGTTCACTGGTCTGAGTCCAGGTTTCCTTTCCGCGTAATCCGTTTTTTCGGGAGCCGCCGCTTCCTCCCTTTTCCGCCAGGCCCCTGCAGCCCCGAGCAAGGACCGCGTTTCGGAGCTGTGGGGCGGAAGCCAGCGTCTCCTCTTCCCCGCGCTCGGGTGGAGGCTGTGTCGCGGTGGGCCGGGTCCCAGGGCGCCCGCCATGGCAGGGCAACGGGTGGAGGTGGACGGCGGGATCATGGAAGGGGTGAGTACGGAGCCGGGGGGCCGAGGGGTGGCGGCAGCGGCCCGGGCCGGCGGGTAGAGCTTTCTTGTCTGATGTTCTCCGTCTTTTCCGCACCCGCACCCTGGGCAGGGCGGCCAGATCCTGAGGGTATCCACAGCCCTGAGCTGTGTCCTGGGCCTCCCCTTGCGGGTGCAGAAGATCCGAGCCGGTCGCAGCACGCCTGGCCTGAGGTAAACCGGGGTGCTGGGGAGCGGGCTGTAGGATAGGTGAGCGCCGGGCTGGGGATTACAGGGACATGGGGGCCGGGCTTAGGGACTGGGGGTGGGGTGGGGCCGGGGACTCAGCAGCCGCGGGTAGTGATGCTGAGAAAAAACGGGCTCCCGGGCGGAGGAATCTGAAGCCAGGCCGCAGGTCCCGGGGTGCAGTGCCCCGCCCTGGGCTGTTAGCTGGAGCCTGGGTTGTGTGGTCTTGAAACCCTCGAGGCAAGTTTAGAAAATAGACCGTGCTTTCTTTATTTGGCTACAGTTGTCTCGTTTCCTAAAGGGTTATCTTTTAAAATGTTTTCCCACCTCATCGGGCATTCCACGTACCGGGAAAGCTCTTAGTATCCGGGCAAGATAGATCAAGTCAGATCAGCCTCCATGACCCATCTTGTTAACCAGTGCGTTCTCTGCTGCCGCACATTTTAGAATCAGAACAGGAAAGGACTCAGAGATGTGTTAGTCCAGCTCTCATTCAACCTCTAGGAAGCTGTGCGCTCGACCAGAATTATCAGTTGTGGAGAGAGAACAACGTTGACCCTTGACCTTCCTTGTTTCTTCTGTCTGAAAAACTAGGCATGCTACTAGATAAGTTTCAGGTATATGCGCCTGTGAGAAGAGGATCCAGGTTGAAATCAAACTGATTTCCTTTGTATTTTGTATATATTCCATTGTAATAGATCAGCTATCTCTGCCTTTTCTCCACAATTCATTTTGAAATTATTAAAAGGCAATTAGTGATACGTGTGAACATTAATTCCCTTTGCTACAGTTGTTTGCAGTAATCTATTTCACCAATGGTGAAATTCAATTCATTAAAGCTGTGTTAGGTACTTTATTAACAATAGTTTGCTATGGCCGCCATAACAAAATACCCCACACAGGGTGGCCTAAACAACAGAAACTCTTTTCTCACAGTTCTGGAAGCTGGAAGTCCAGAAATCAAGGTGCTGGCAGGGTTGGTTTCCCCTGGGAGCTGTAAGGGAAGATTGTGTTCCAGGCCTTTCCCCCTGGCGTGGCAGTGGCTACCGTCTGGCTGCCTCTTCTCATGGTCATCTGGCTGTGCATGCACACCCCTGGTGTCTCTATGTCCTAATCTCTTCTTATAGGGACATCAGTGAGAATGGTTTAGGGCTCACCCTAACTGGCTCTTTTTTACTTAACCACTTCTTTTAAGGCCTTATCTCCAAATAATTACATTCTGAAGTACTGGGGGTTATGTCTTCAACGTGTGAATTTTGGGAGAACACATTTCAGCCATAATAAGCACCATAGATTATTTAATAAAGTGGAAGTAAGCCTGGTGGCACTTAGGTAGTTTTACTAGTTTTTAGGGGGTTTTTTTTTGCCCACCTAATTTACAACAATATACCAATGTATGTGTTTATAGCTAAAACAACTGGTCTGGAAAGAGCCCTTAAAATGGTGTCTTAACTAGCAGGTATCTGGGTGCATAGCAACCCAAAAGGAAGGTCTGTCACTGAAGATATGGCACTTACAATGGTTAGCCCTTGCTGTTTTCTTGCCATTGCAGTTTTATAAATGTGTGATAAAATCTGGGGATATAGGCAGTCAGAATGCACACGTTTTGATGCAGTATTATGACCTGAAGGCCTCAACACTTATCTGGACTGGAAATGATTCGAGATTTATGTGATGGGCAACTGGAGGGAGCAGAAATCGGCTCAACAGAAATAATATTTACACCAGAGAAGATCAAAGGTGGAATCCACACAGCAGATACCAAGACTGCAGGGTATGTGTCATTTACTTTCTATTTAAATACGGGCCTAGGAGTTAGAGCTGGATTCAAATGCAGGTCCTACCACTGACTGGACAAGTGGTTTAACCTCTTTGAGCTTTAGTTTCCTCACTTTTAAAATGGCAATGAAACACTTAGCTTTAGGGTTAGAGACTGTGTAAAGTTTCTAATTGTTTATTAATCATAGCTATTACTGTATCTAGAATTTTCACGTATGTATAGTATAGCATATTTGTTTACTTTTTATTATTAGAAACTGAATATCTGAAAATGACTGTTTTCATGCTCGTAGTCATAGTAGTTTTTGCATTGTAGCATATTTTGTTCTTGGCTTACAGCTAATTATGAGCTATATTCTACTACTTTTAGTCTAGGTATTTTTGTTTTTAATAGATACTTATGCAGTTCTATTTAGAAAATTTTTAGATATGATCTTAGTTTTTTCCCCCATTGGAAAATGGATATTTAACAATTAAATTGAGCCTTTATTGTTTTCCAAGAATCCCTCCTTTTATTGACAAAACATGGAGAGCAACTTTTTTGTGTTTTTTGTGTTATTTGGCTGATTGCTATTGTAAGCAGCATCCTTTTACCAAATCCTATTCATTTACTAGGAAATTTGATAAAATAAATACTACTATAAACCCAATTCCAGTTTGTTTTAGAAATGACTGTTTTAATAGATTGTGATTTATTTATTTATTTATTTATTTATTTAGCTTTATTGGGGAACTCTGTTTTTCCCAGGACCCATCAGTTCCTAGTCAAGTTGTTGTCCTTCAGTCTTACTTGTGGAGGGCGCAGCTCAGCTCCAAGTCCAGTCGCTGTTTTCAATCTATTGCGTTGTCGGACAAGTCATGACACGTTTTTGCAATGAAAACCAGAAAAACCGGCAACCTTGTTAAGAGCACGTACTCTAACCAACTGAGCCATCCGGCCCGCCCACCGGCAGCTAAAGTTGTTGTCTTCAATCTGGTTGCAGAGGGTGCAGCTTACTGACCCATGTGGGAATTGAACCAGCTACCCTGGCTCAGCGCTCACGTTCTAACCAACTGAGCCACCCAGCCGCCCCTAGATTCTAATTTTTGTAAGTTTAAGAAAATGTTTAGTGAGATTTGCGTAATGATGCGAATAGACCTGTATGAAAAAAGGACCTGCTGCTAGGCCTAAGGTTTGGTTTGACAAGTGAGAACTTTCCTAAGGGGATTAAAACATTTTAAGGTAATCTTTATAGTCAGCATATTATTTCAGGTATTTTCCTGTACAAAAAGGTGAAAAAAGTTATAGTTAACCCACTAAAAATGAACTAAAATAGAATTATAGAATTTTGAAGCTGCAAAAGGGAAAATAGAAATTATGTATTCCAACCCTTTCTCCATTTTGTGAATGAGATAATGAAGGCCCTCTGGTGTTAAGTGATTTACATTTACCCAAGGTCAGAACTAGAATTAGAATCTAGACCTTTTGGCTTCTAACCCATTAGAATGTATGGGAAATGAGTTTAAAGTTGGTAATCTAGCTCCATTCAGAAGACAAAAATAACCTTGCTCCTTGCAAGAAAAGACATCTTACTTATTTACATTCTAATACTTTTATCCCTGATTGTGATTACAGTACTATGCGTTTTCTCAATAGTCTGTCTTTGTTTTTGTAATTCCTTACTCTACTAAAATTAAGGTTTTTCTTTACTCTTAGAATCTGATTTTATCGGGCTTGTGGGGGGAAGAAACATATATTGGGTTCTTAAGAGAATAAACAGTGAGAAGTTCAGCAATTATAAACTTATGGTTTGTAGTAAAGAAAACATTGCCAAGCCTTTTTCACTTGTTCTTAGGCTCAATTCATTGAGAACAGGAATTATACTGTACATATTTTCTTATAATGTCTAACACATTATATAGTCAATAAACAGCCACTGAATTAGTGAGATGCATTATCAGTGTTAATAGAAACTGTCTTTCAGTATACATGCATTGTTGCCATAAGAAAGTTAAGTAAAGATCTGTCTTTTGGTATGTAGAGGCCATGTTGAACTCTCTTTTAAACGCCAATCCACGTATCAATATGATTGCTTTCCCTTGACATTGGAAAAGAAGGGAAGGAAAATAAGGGCTCAATTAAAAAATCTGACCAAGCATTTTATTTTATAAAATAATTTCTATTCTATAATTATTTCTTGTGATTGCTCTCATTATTTGACTAAAGACTGGACAGAGGTGAGTTATATAGCAAGGATTATTTCTTTAAAACTTTTTCCATGTAAAATATTCAGCTGTCAGTATTTGTAAAATATTATTCTATCATATCATGGACCCCACGATGGCAGGAACTTAACTTGATATCTGAAACAGTGCCTTGTGCATGGTAGAGATTCAGGTATAATCATTCGAATATTTCTATACCTTGGCTGTTTTGAATGCATTTTCATCAACTGCTACTCCCAAGAATCCTTTTTTTTTTAAGATTTTATTGGGGAATCGGGGGAAGGGGAACAGACAAATTGCTGTCGTTTTGTTCTTCAGTCTAGTTGTGGAGGAGGTTGCTTCACTGGCCCATGTTGGTATCATTGCACTCTTCCCGGGTGAGGTGGATCGGTTGCCGGCCTCTGGATGGCCGCTCATGGCGGCTCTTGGCAGCTCACACTGGCTGCCAGCCACACACGGCGCTTATACGGCGCTTATGGCAGCCCACTGCAGCAGGGGCTGCAGCCTGCCGGCGACTTCCAGCAGCCCAGCTCCAGGTCGAGCTGTTGGTCACCATCTTAGCTGTAG